GCTCCCCACGTGGCCCTCTTGAGCTCCCCACGTGGCCCTCTTGAGCTCCCCACGTGGCCCTCTTGAGCTCCCCACGCGGCCCTCTTGAGCTCCCCACGCGGCCCTCTTGAGCTCCCCACATGGCCCTCTTGAGCTCCCCACATGGCCCTCCTGAGTTCTGCACATGGCCCTCCTGAGCTCCATTTTTGCTGGCAGAAGGTTGCAGGAGGCTGTCACAGCTGAAAATAGAGCTTGGGAGCCCATTTTTGCTGGCAAAGTGCTCAGGCCACCACAGGCACCTCTGACACAATTGATGTTGAGGCCACACCCCACCCTGGTCACACCCACCCCAGCCCTTCAAGGTCAAACACAACCCTGATGTAGCCCTCAATGAAATCAAGTTTGATACCCCTGCTCTAGATCCTTCACCTACGTCCCTGTGTCTTCCCAACTCATACACGAGGCCATACCTGTAAATGCAGCCATGTCCCTGTCTTCCAAATCAAGTCCATCTTTGCACTCAGAAGGAGGAAATAGGTAAACTTCCTGCCTTCATTTTCTCCTCCTAAGATTTACCAAGCAGGAAGGAAGTATGCCTAAAATTTAAATATTTTCAGATTGAGGGAGATGTTTCAATAAGAAATGCAAGTTTTTAGAATAGGTATTAGGATTAGGGAAGTAAACAGGAAATGAAGCAAAAAAGGACGGAGGAAAACCAGAGCTAATATCTGCACAGTATCTGTTAGGGGTTGCTCACCTGCTCAGAATTATACTGTACACTCAGAATACAAGCAGAACAAAATAAAGTTCAGATTATTTTTCAAAAAATTAAATCAATATTTTAATTTGTATCAAACTTTCACTAGGATCTGGTTTGCAATTTATTTCCTGGATCTCCAGTTCTTCATCTCTGAAAAATTGAGTCGTGGTTTACCTGACTGAGCCAGCTGGGAAGAGCAACGCCTGGCTTTCCCATGAGAGGTAAAACAAACAGAGTCAAAACTGAGCTGGCATTTCCTTGTTCTAAAAGTTCACCTGAGAGAAATCTTACTGTTTTTCCTGGGCTTGATCAGTCTCTGCCTTATACATAGATTGACAGATGAGATTTGATGGACAGATCAAGTTTAACTTGATCTTCTCTTATGAGGATGATGAGTGAGTGCTTAAATTCTAAAGCAAATCTCCATTGACAATATTTAGTATGAAGTACATGATGGATAATAAAGAAAATGTTCCTAGAGTATATTTCCTTATCTCATCCAGGAGCTCTCTCACATCCAAGGTTAACAGAACCAAGTTCCACAACTGCCTTGACTTAAAGCAGAGGTGTTAAACCCCTGGCCCATGGGCCGGATGCGTCACACACTGTCCACGCCCAGGGCCGGTTTAGCAAAGTGGAAAACAGTCGCAATACATCACATGACACCACCATGATGACACAGGTTTGACACCCCTGACTTAGCGTTTAAACCTTTCACTGTGCATTGTATGAATCTCCCTATACATGCCACTGNCATTCATCGTCCACCTGTGGCCTTACTCCCAAGTCGACCCTTGTTCTTTAGCTGTTCCCTTCGTCTGGCAACTCTGCGCATGCGCACACGGGGAACAGCTGTTCGTCTATATCACTGACGTCTGACTCTGATAACTGGCATACGGCTCTGGCCCCCTCTCTGCCTCCGACACAGAGCCCTCATCAGAGCCTTCTGCAGACTCCAGGACTGGCCCATGAGTTACTCCCCAATCTCCTTACTGTTCGAATCTGCTGCCAGCTCCACTGGCGGGCCACAACAAAACTAACAATATACTTTAAAAACATTTCTAGCATTGAAGGCTAAGCACAAGTACTACCTAATTCTTGCAATTTGTACAGTAGAGTCTAGCATTAAAACAGGTGAGAAAATATGGATGTGTTACTGCTTGATAAGTACCAGACTGAGATTCAAATGAAACTACCGTATAACATCTCTCCTCAGATTTGGCAAGAGTAGAGAAACCATAACAACACATAAAGAAGTGGGTTCACGACAGTTTCCCTGGCAAAAGGTTTGAACTATGTACCCAGTTTTCACAAGGAAGAATATTTTTAATCTGTCTAAAAAATATACATCATCTTAGTGTTTTTTACCTGTTCCAGCTTTTGTAAGAGTAATTCAGTGCAGTATCCTTCATCCAGGTCATCTAATTGATCAGAACCAGGCTTAGTTTCAGTGGCGGTCCATTGAGCTGGGACATCTTTAACCATTAATGTTTGTTCCCTGTTAGAAGCTGAAGCTGTCTTGGAGACAGCCACTTTTTCCTCAAAAGAACTTTTAAGGTCCAGTGTTTGCTCTTGGTGCATAGTGTCTTCACTTGGAGAAATGCTACTTGATCTGTGCATCAAATTAACACCATGACCCGATAAGACACTTTCCGTGCTGATTGCTCTGGTAGTTTTCAAACCAGGGAAAGCAGGATTTAGTATGACTCCTGCACGGGCAGCGTTAGACATCCAGTCCGAAACCAAATTTTCCTCCCAATTCAGATCTGTGGAGATGGCCATCTGGAAAAGTAAAACAGTCCAACCTTAAATAATCTTCTTGCCGAAGAAGTTTGAGAAATCCAAGGTCTCACTTTCCGTTCCTGAACAATTTTAAAAAGAAAACAAAAACATAATTCACATACAGTTAGCGCTCGGCTTACGATGGCAATTGGGGCTGGAATTTCTGTCACTAAGTGATGGGGTTGTAAAGCATGATGGAAATCCCTGTAGTGCCATTGGTCATCCTTAACTAAATCCAACTGTGGTTAGAAAAAGTAATTTCCAGCCAGCTTCCCATAATCAAAGTCAGTGGGAAATCTGGCAGGATGTTGCAAGTCCCAGACCGACATGTATAATACTAATAAGTAATATTATTTTTCTGTGTCCAGACCTCACATGAAACTCAAAGGTGATATAATGATGTTTGTGTGCAAATTCTTTGTAGAGAATTTTTCTACAATTTATGTAGAATCTCATATTATCAATCTGATATATATGTATACAATTATTATCATTGTTAAACATTTATTTGACTATAACTATTATTACTTCCTTTTATGTGAGATATTCTAAATTTGGAATACATTTATATTATGGCAATTTCATTACATCATCCTAAAATCATCCAGTAGTAGTACATCTTTATTTTATATTCTATATAAAAATTTTTATATTTGGTCACAATACTTTTGTGCATCCTCTCCATAGTCCTCGCTTGCAATTTATATAAAATCTCATATTATCAATCTGATATATATGTATACAATTATTATCATTGTTAAACATTTATTTGACTATAACTATTATTACTTCCTTTTATGTGAGATATTCTAAATTTGGAATACATTTATATTATGGCAATTTCATTACATCATCCACAAACCATCCAGTAATAATACATCTTTATACTGTATTCTGTATAAAATTGTTTATTTTTTGTTACAAAACTTTTGTGCATTCCTCTCCATAGTCCTGACTTACAATTTATATAAAATCTCAT